ATTTTTTGGATTACCGTTAGAATGTCAGGAATTAGAGGCAGAAAAAGTGAGTGTCCTGCACCGCGCACTTTGATGACAGATTTACTCCTATGAAGAATCGAAGCTACGATTGTACTTAGCGACTGAGGAAAATTGTGAACTATTTAGTTTCATTGCCAAAATCTATTTTAGCTTAATTACTGCCAGCGTCGCGTTATTGCCAGAAATGGTGAGCGCTAACCAACTCTCACTTTTTACTAAATGAAAAGATTCATTGCAAATCGAAAGTAATTTATTCGACTGAAACGTGCCTGTATTGAGTTCGCCTTAAGAATTACATGAGTATTTAATAACATTAAAACATTTCCGATGCTGAAACAAATCGCAAATTATTATTTTTCCTCATTTATTTCAGTAATCATCATGGAAATCTTCCATTCGTTTTCATCAGTTATATTCATTCATGCAGACAGAATTTAATATTTTTTTAATTAAACGAATTTTTATAAACATTTGATAAATGCATCCTGGTTCTTATTACCATTTTTGGTTTGGCTGCATTCCTTCGCCGGAGAATTATTAATTGAGGGAAAGAGAAGAGAGAGAGAGAACATCAAGTACAAGAAATGTTTATCCTTAATCGAAATAGCAAATAACAACCATTCTATCTCTAGCATCGGATTATGCAAAAGTTGGTTTTCAAAAAATGGAATCTATTAGAGAAATAATTAGACATGGAAAGCATGGTTCATTTCTATTACCGGACACGAAAGAAAAAAGAAACAAAGTTAAGCTGATGAGACGAACCTTTCTTCCACTCTCTTTTCGTGCTAAGCAGTATGTTTAATAATGCAAATTACTAAAAATTAATGAGTTATATAAAAGAACTTTGTTATATAAAATTTATTCAGAACTTTGTTATATGGTGTGCAAAAAATATAAAATTTCTCGCGAATTAACTTTGAAAATTAATAATTTTCTTTAACGATAACATTTGCTAAACTGCAGAATTGTCATGAAATAATAATAACAATTATTTTAGATTCTATAGGTTCTATTTTATATTTATTTATATAACTTAGCAATCAAAAACTTTGTTGCGAAATTTTGAAAAATTTATGTAATCTTGAAGTGATGGTTTCAAATCGCTGTTCTTTGCAGATATTTCTTAACTTTTAAAATATTCGTTTCAAATTAACGATAAAAATAATCTTTAAAGTAAATCCGATAATACATCACATCACTGTGCTAAATTTTATATCCATCGAAAACCATAAAATCTTAAGGTATTAGAAACGGTTAAGAATTATTGTCTCGTTACGACAAGCACATTTCTTCCATTAGCTTCATAATTTTTCCTTGAAGAACCATTTTTCGTTGCTAATCATTTTTGTTCACTTTTCTTTTTCTGCAACTAAGCGCTCGACGGATTTGCATATTTCAAGTTCCGAAATTTTTAAGAATATTTTTGTGCAATCCAAGAAATAACATAAAGACATAGTTCAGATTCAGCTTCTAGAAGAAGCACCTATAGCAGTGGGTATTCACAACTTTTTTGTGAAGGCCACAGGCTTTAGATGAAAAGAAAGATGAAAAGAATTTTGAGTTTGTATAATTCATTTTTTTAATGTTTTTTTAAAGTTCTTTAAAGTTTATAAAAGCGTCCTTTTTCTTAAAAAAAAGTTATAAAAAATTTTCATTTAAGGTTACTAAGGTTATCACAAAAAGTTATCGTTTTTTCAATGCGAATTTTGCATGAAACAATTTTTTCTATAAAAAAAATCAAGTACAAGTCATTCCTTATATACTCTATGGCGTTATTTGCTTACATTTAATTGAGCTTGGTGAAAATTCACCAGTAATCCAGTAAAGAAACAAGAAGTTCCTCATACGAGAAATTCTGGTGACATTGCATACTTTATTTCATCGAGCAAATAACAGAACGACAGTAACAAGCAAGAGAAACGAAGTCCGAAAGCAAAGGATGTGAGGAAGCGTCAAAGATGGTTTTCGAAATTTAAAAGTGGTGGTTTCAATTTACTAGATACAAGACTTACAAGATTTATTTGTTAAACTATTGTGATAGACGTTTGTTCATTTCGTCATGAGTTTTAAACTGAATTTCACTATAGACAAATTTGAGTCAAATACCTTCCTTTTAACAAGGTAATTAAAAACGAGCGCGTAATGGCACGCTTAGGAGATCTGCGAGCAGACCTATCGTAACAGCAAATAGGAATTCAACAAATAATCATTTTGCGAAGGAAAAACCAATTAAAGACAGTCACTTTACCGAATTTAGCAGCTTTTTATCACCTCCACTTCAACAAATTGATAAACAGAGAAGGATATAATGAAACGATAACTAAATGGAATGCAAATGGCGCTTAAAGAATCCCTCGCAAAATTACGAAATTATGTCAAGACCAGAGAGGCTAACTGAGCAAGAACAAGCAGAATGTAAACCTCAAATTGTGCACAACCGACCGATCGACAACAGTTGTAATCCATTTCCAATTCTAACATTATTTGCGTGTAGTTTCTAAGTCTTAAAGAACGCACTGAAAGAAAACCGATCTTTTAAAAACATTTGCAAAAAGAACACGCAAAACACAAAAATAAAATAAAATGAAATTACAATGAATCAAAAAAACAATCACCGAAAGAATCAAATGAAAATTAAAATGAGAAACGCTTCAATACATTTTTGTCAGACGACCCTACGTCCGCTCTCAACTATTTCGAACCTCTTCCTCCTTTTCGCCAAAACTGGACTGGAACACACTGAAGTTCGAAATGTGAGGGAAATGTGATAAAATAAATTAATTATTTGCTGTGGCTTACAGTTGGGGATAAATCGTCTTTGCGACCAGAAGTCACCACATCCACTTTATACAAACTTTGCTTTTAACTTTTCACTTCAACCGTTTTCCAGAAAGAGAGTTCCAGAGGACAGTTGACTTACAATTGCCCATGTCCATTTGGATGAATGTAATAGAAACCAACAAACCTACAACCAAACCCATCCTCATACGGCGACCAATTCATTTAGAACTGCAGTTTATGACTGAGTTAAAAAAGTCGGCCGTGTTATGTAAGAACAATTCATGTAGTAGCCGAAGCTGCTAATTGGTGGTTCGGATTTGCTAAATTGTTATTTGCCACGTTGAGTATAATAGGTTTTTCTTTGAGAGGTATGGTTATTTTGTGTGGGAGGAAACTGGAAACTGTAATTATCGAAGAGTCCAAAAAACAAATAAGCAAAATCGAGTTTGAGCTGAATTCTCGTTGTAAAGTCGTGCAGTTATTTTTTTGTCTTCTACCGTCGTTGAATGGTCCCAAACTTTTGGTTGGCTGAGTGTCGGTTATTCAGCCCGAAGTTCCCCCGATTTCGCCTTTTCCTCGGTGAATTCTTCTGTGAAATATACCTGTCTTCACTTCCATTCCAGCCGTGTTTATGCGTAATATATTTTCTTTGCCACCGAATCTGCCTTAAACTTCCCGCCAAAAGGGTTTTCTTGCGTTTTGCAGAAATCGCCTTTTGGTGAATTTTTTCAGAAAGTTTAATAAGAAATTTTTAAGTTTTGCGATGGCTAATTCATATAATCTGGATGAAGAGAAGGTCCATGATTCAAGAGGATTCAATGATGAGAATTCATCGAAAGAAGGCAACTGTAATGCACCAGATGTAAGTCTTCATATTTTATCGTATGATTAAGCAATTAGATTTCCAATTTGCTGGTTAATGGGCCTCTCCAGGTGCTTTTTTTGGCGAAAGCGATAGCTTGATTGCTTACATTACGAGCTCGTTAATGTGAATGGAAGAACAGTCGATTGGTCTGAAAAAGAGGAAAAGAAATGAAGTTGAATAAAACAGAATATTTATATATATATTCAAAAGCATTTTCATACATAAAATTGTATGTCAAAAAGTTGACTAATAGTAAAAGTGGATTTTAAACTCGCCATACTACTAATATTCCTTGAACTTCGCATTCCATTAAGGCGCTTTAGAACTGCATTACACTACCTTTCATAGCAGCTAAAACTCCGCTAAATTCGCTTCCGATTGCAGTCCAATTCCCGTTACTAGCCATTGATTCTTGTCATATCTTCTAACTGTGCTATCGTTCCCATTTAATTCGTTAAAATCCACTAAGAAGAGATATCGAAATATTCTTCTTCTTCTTAAGAGTCCTCACCATTACTGGTTAAACTCGCTCCACTGCCTTGTCGCATTGAGCAATTTGCCAGGGAGTCCCTTGGCGATAATACAGGTGAGTCGCCAGCATCACCTGGATTTCTGTAGAGGCTTGCTCCTACGGAGGAATCGAACAGCAGCTTCGGCTGCTCCAAATTGAGCAACAACTCACTGAGCCATCCTATCCCCATATCGAAACATAGATTATGATTATTATAATTTGCAGTCAATAAAGTATTTGAAATCAGTCATAACAGTGGGTAAATATAAAGAGAAAGGAAAACAAAAATCCTTAGAATGGGAATAACCACAAAGAAAATGAAAAAATATATATCAGTGGCAATAAATGGAGGTTTCTTTCTAGTTAATATTTAAGGGCTATAGAGGGTTCGAAAGAACAATAGCGAGATTTTGCAGTTCAAGATTGCATTCATATTTCTCTCCAGAAATCGCCCATCCACACACTAACAGAGCATTTTATTACACAGATGTTGAATAAAATTGCTCGTACGTGGTATTTTGGAAATCATCAGTCGAGCTTTTATCTTCTGTAAATGTGAAAAAACGCTTTTGCTAATTCAAAACATGACACAGTTCTTTATTTCTTAAAACTTAATTATATTCTTTGGACACTCCTGCGAATTCTTCTGTTTTGTTTTTATATCGGCCAAATACTATGGTTATATTCCCTTACGATCTTTCAATTTTCGTTTTATTTCTTCGATATTCCCAGTCACCGTCACACAATTTATAATTCTAATACGGTTTTCTAACTATACTGTAGAATTTTTTTTAGAACCGCGACGTGCAACCGGTATGTGATCTATTCAAACGGCATCCACTAAACTGTCGCTGGTCACTTTGGTATCTTAAAGGAGATCGGAATAAAGATTGGGAAGATTGTCTAAAGAAAGTTGCAACGATCGATACGGTAGAAGATTTTTGGGCGTAAGTTTTTTTTTTCTACAAGTTTAGCAAAGAGTATTTCTTATTTTTCTTTATTTCAATATATTTTAACATTTGAAAAGTGCAGCGCGAAAATGCGAGAATAATTTTGTATGCAAACGATTTTTTTTAATTTTTTGGTTTTAATTTATCTTTTTATTTTCCAAACGTTTCCATTTTGCAGATTGTACAATGCAACGCAGTCGGCATCGGGATTAAACTGGAATAGCGATTATTATTTATTTAAAGAAGGAATTAAGCCAATGTGGGAAGATGAAAATAATGTTAAGGGTGGCCGTTGGTTAGTTGTTGTTGATCGACAAAGAAGAGCTGAACTTCTTGATCAGTATTGGCTTGAACTTTTGATGGCTATGGTTGGCGAACAATTCGAGGAACATGGCGAATTCATCTGTGGTGCTGTAGTTAATGTTCGTTCCAAGGGGGATAAGGTAGAGCAGCTGTTTTAATTGCTTATTCACATTTGTTGGGGAAAATAGTTGATTTTGTTATTTTTTACGATTATGTATTAATTTATGCATTTCTTATAGGTTTCTCTATGGACTCGGGATTCGATGCAGGATGAAGTAAATTTGCGTATTGGCTTAATTTTGAAAAGCAAACTAAATATACCAGATACCCAAATAATGAGATACGAGGTCCACAAAGTAAGCCATCTTAACCTCTTGATTTAAATAATAATTATGGATAGTAAGATAGTTATTTTAGGATTCTTCTGTGCGTACGGGATCGATGGTGAAACCGCGAATAACATTGCCACTGAAGTAATATCAGGCGAATCTGATCGCCGGAAAATCTACAAATCGAAAGCGGCAAATTCGATATTTTAAATTCGATATTTTAAATTAGCGGTTTCACTTTTCTTTCGATATTTTCCACTTTTTTTTATTAGTCTCATTTATTTATATCGTTGTTACTGATCATAACTCGTTTATTATGGCGTTTTTTTAATTCAATCCTTTGTGCGAGTGTCAATAAAATACAAATCGCAGTTATCGCTTATCATTTCGCTTAAGTTGTATTAGTATCATTTAACACTTCTATATGTTTATGGATGGACGATCTCTGGCAATTAAATCCCTAGCAGTAAGGATTGGAGTTTCGTTTTTATTTATTTTTAATATACGTGTAACGCTTTCAATTGCTTCTTTTTGCTTTACGTAAAATTGGTCAAATGTTGGTTACTGCATAGCATTTAAATACGTGATAGCCGTTTCAAAAAATTCCTTTTATTGTAAAAAAAAATGCTTTCAAACTGGTATTTTTGAAGTGTAAAACTTTTCCGTTTGAAATCTGGAGCATAAAATTAGCAATTTTCAATCTTATTCCCGATTTCGAGGATCCATTGTCCCTAAGCTTTTAGATTCTTAACTACTTCGCACTTAATTCACTATGCTCATTGTACTGGTTTGTCAGCCTTTGTAATTTATTCGCTTATGTTGTAAATAACATAATGGTTTTTCGTTGCGATTTTCATGCTTAAGAATAAAAATTTCTTTACTTGACTGGAAAATACTTGAGAATTTTTTCTAAATATGCCCACCATTTTCGGTTAAGATCACTCAACTATTTTATCGGACCAGTGGATTTATTTTATCGGTAAATTTTGCCAATCTAGCAGTAGAAGTATGAGTGAGTTGCGGTATCACCCGGGTTTTCGAAAGACAACTGCTGGAGTGGAATCCATGAATTAACACTCCGAAATAAGAGTAACAACACATTCTACTAATCACATTGTTAGATATAGAGACAATAATGACAAAGAAATAATGGTGCAAAACAAAAATGATCAGAAATGATACCTATAATTCATTACTTTCAATAAGAATTTTAAAAAACAGATCTGAAGAAAAAAGATTCAAATTTTCATGAAAAAATAATAATTTGAAAACGAATGCACCAGCAAAATTAGTGAACATAATATGTATCGATTTCATTTCAATTGAAAAGAAATGTTCTTTGGTTCCGAATCAAACAGTATTTGCTCAATGAATAGCAAAAGATTTTTGCTATTTTCTCGGCTTTTTAAACCAATCATATCAAAATTTGAGATCAAATATTCTTTAAATCGAAGAAGTTTTATAGCATTCATAAAAGAATCTGCATTTACTGCTTCATCTAAATTATTATTAACGATTAATTACGCCCACAACAAATCCTTCAATAAAAGAAGACCCTTTTGAAATAATGTATAAAACAGGTCTATTTTTCCACAGTTCCTTTTCAAACTTCATTTTCAACTCTTATTTTCCACTATATGGTTTCTGTCTTTATCATAATTATAATTATCACAATTATAAAAATATCTTTGTTTGTCTGGGGCTGGAACTAATAAAATCAAATGCAAGTGGCTGCTGGGATCTGCACCGCTGTTCCAAGTAGGTCTAAGTCGGGTGGGTCAAACAAATTGCAAATGGTATCTCTAGCTACGTGACAAATGCACGAAGCGAGTTTGAACATTAAAAACAGCCGTTTTTAATGTTCAAGGGACAAATGTCGGCTCCGTCTATAAGTCTTCACCATAGTTGCGTGGAACCTCAGAATGCTCTGAAAGTACGAAACCAGGCGATAATATCCATGCTATATCCAAATATAGTGTAGATATCACTTGCCTCCATTTTCCTTCAGAAATACATTTTTCTAATTCTGGGTCCAAAGCATTCACTATATCTAGATCATTTAAGAACTACTGGCTGTATGACGGTGATGTTCTGGATAATTCGGGTAGCACTGCAGCAGCAATAAGCCCTAATAGTATGGAATCCTGCTAATAATGGGTTGGTCCATGAAAGCGTCATAGAAAGTTTTGTAACATCTCTTTTATCAGTAATTATACTCCTTTGCACAGATATTGCTATATTCTAAGCTGAATTTGCTGACAAAATCTCTTACGAAAAACGTCAATGATCGCGGGAGACTGAAATACGCACGTAGGACGAGAGAATAGTCCACCACCTTTTGTGGTCGGGAAATATATGCATTGGGACTCTGTGGGCCAACGGAGAGTATCTTCTCAGCTATGGTGTATATGGCCTATATGGCTTTCTGTAGTAAATTAGTCGCGCATATTACAGAGTGGAAATTGGAAACCTTTGCGAATAAAACCACGTAATGATTAATGGTTAGATCCAAGACTCGAATGAAAATGACAACACGGAAAACATAGCTTCCACTCCGGAAGCGACTCTGAAAATCTTTTGATTCTCTCAAATTAAAAGATTGGATCAAGTTAAGAGGCACTAGCTAACGGCAGCTCCGCAGACTCGCAAAGATCACAGTGATGCAAGGTAAAATCAATACTGGAACCATATGGCTTTGAACATGGAGATGGCAGCTCGAGTTGGTGACCATCGAAAATTGTTTCGTCTACTTCGCAAGGACCAGAACCCCAGAAATGGTCAGTCAGAATCGATCCGAGGCAAGAATGGAAATTCCGTTGAAATCAGCGAAGATCTCCTCCGATGGAGTGATTTAAATCTAAACTTACGACGAATCACTCAATATTCCAGATATACCGGAAATTCAAAATGACTCTATCAGATTAAAAAGTTCAGGAGTACATATCAATCTGAGCTGCTGATACGTCTTAAGGATTTTAATAGCTTTATTACCTCTGGAACTGCTGACAAATACTGGCCCAACCTGAATCCAGGAACTGGTCCTAGGATACACTACATGACCACCACATTGCGCGTTTCAGAAGATGCTAGCTATCGGCAGTTCTGTAGGCAAGAGAGATAAAAGCTCGAGTGAACAATCATCGAAAACTATTCCACTTACCTCGCAATGCAACCGAGGCTCGAAAAATGGTCACTGGACATGTCTGGAATGTATTTATAGCGGTATGGTTGTGACTGCGAACCACCAACAACAGAATTTCTCTGCAATCTCTTTAATCTATAAGCTTAAGTCCAACAAAATTTCCGGAGATAATCTGAGATTGGAACAAGGCAATTCAATTTCCAATTTCCAAGAATGAAGATAGGACGCACTAAGGCAACTATCAATATCACTAAATGTCCATCGTCCATGAATATACTAATAATCTTTTTCGCTAATAACTACAAGAAACGGACGCTACATCCGACATTGATAACATGACATTGATAACAGCGAAAATTCATCTTCAGATCAATTTAAAGATATAGAGATACTAGCAAGATCACAATTCAATTTCATCAAAGGATGAAAAAGAAGAGTGCCTCGAATTCACTCCCATACCTCGATCAGCTATAGCCAGAGGTGCCTTCTTTCGACTGGCAAACTTCTCTGGAATTATCGTGAAATCAGCCTGAAAATAAAAGTTTACAACTATATGGCTGTGGCACGCACAATCTTATTATATGGTTGCAAAACTTGGCCAATGAAAGTGGAAGAAAGCTATCTAAGCTTTTAACCATTCTTGTTTAATCTACATGCTACGCAACAAGTGAACAATCTCATCCACCTTCGCTCATCTGCATATCGTTGAAGAATAATCATTGCAAAGCATCGTATGAATTGGTTCGGCCATCTTCTTCGCTACCATGAATAGGGTGAATGAAAAGCTTGGAAGACCAATCAAGACCTGGAACGATGGTTAAAGAGGACTTGAATACGTAGGCGACCCAGCGATATAAGGTGAAAAAAGTGGCTCCAGCCATGGCATCGGAATGAAGGCCTAGAAATGTACACGCTAGTGGAGCGAATCAAGCCAGCAATAGTACGAGCTATTAAAAGAAACCAACAATAAATAAATAAAAATTCATAGAAAATTAGAAAATTTAATTCATTATGAACGAACCTATACCTTTGATTTATTATTTATAAATACGTTAAAAAATCGAACAGGCAATACCATTGAATTTCAAGATTAAAAAATTTAAATTAATACTTAAAAAATATTTAAATTATTTAAATTAAACAAATATTCAATACAAAAAATATTACATTATTGAACAAATACTGAATATCAAAAAAAATATTTATAATATAAAAGTACGTAAAAAATATTTACCGAGTAATTTGAAAGAGGTATTGTATGCCGATGGATTTCGTGACAACAAGCGATGGATGAAAAGTGCCGCTAAGAAAAGGCAAAATTTTAGACTTAATCATTGTTTTAATTCAGAACCATATTTATTAGATGTTTGCAAATTTTTTGGATATGAAATATCCAACATATTTATAATGTTTTTAATATTTTTCTTCACAAATACTCAACACTCCAACAAAAGCCAATTTTCAAGCACAAAGAAAGTGATTCTAAAAAAGTACAGTTTCTAGGATCAAAAAAAAACAATATGAGAAAAGAGAAGAAAAACATTAAATTATGAAATCAGAAAATGTGAAACTTACGCGTTATTGTTTCGGGCTCCGCCGATGATACCAATTCCTGCAAGACTAAATACATGGATTGTAAGAATGGTCGCAGAATGCTCGCATAAAAATATAACATCTCCGTTTCAAATTCATCCTGGAAGACTGTTATTTATATAGAAATATTGAAAAATGCAGCAATTATCAGCCTTAATTTAAAGAACTAAAATTACCTTGAATTTTTCGCAGCCATTTGTATCACTCATATCGAAATAAGCATTGTTTTCACCAGACGATAAAGGCAAAGAATGTAAAGACTGGATACACTTCGGACTGGTAATGTGAGGAAATAAGAGATCAACTTCCGCTTTTATTTTATCACGTAGGTCATCAAGTGGCTAAAAAAAAGCAAAAAAAAATATAAATATGTTTAATAAATAAAAAGATAAGAGTTAGAAGTATGACTGAGAAAAGTTTCGGTCAAAAGTTCAAATTTTACCTTACAGAAAATAACTTCATATACTAATAAATCGCACAGCATCAACGAACAATCGATGAGTGACTCTTTAGATAGTTCAATCATTTTAGGTGAAGAAAGAAAAACCAATGCTAAAAAATTCAAAAATCAAATAAAATATTAAAAAAATGGTACTTTAGAAGGAAATAGCCAAATAAATGAAATAATTATAGATTTATATCTTTTTATTCTGCAAAACTTTACCCTTAAAATACTATCCGCAATCACTGCTTAAAATTAAAGTCAATTCACCCCGACAGATTTAAAAAGATACCAATGACAGATGGAATCGCATAACATGGCACTAGTGAATTTTTATAATAAGCCAGGTGCAAATAAGATGTATGACACTGCTTAATATATAACTTGTTTCCGTTTTGTTTTACTGCTGGCCCAATGAATGATAAAGCTTTCTAAAAAATATTAAGGATTTTGACTAGTTTTTGAATCTTAAACGATTAAATCATTTTCTGAATTACAGATATATTTCAGCACTTTGTTAAAAAAGGACCGATGTTTCTAAAAATGTAATAAATTCGAAACTTAAAAGATGACCATAATGCTTCTTTGATCGACTTCTTCGGTGATTTCAAATCCGCGCTTTGTCAAATCAGCAGCTATATATCCGGAAGTTTTATAAATGGAATGAATGGTGTTACCAAAGTGCATGCACCTACTCAATACAACTGAGGATGCTATTGAGGCGATGCTAACAGGAGCGCTTATTTGAGCATCTAAATATCCAGTGTCACAAAAAATATAATATTTATGGTTTTAATTTTATGTATGCTGAAATAACGTTCAATCAAAAATATTCAGGCAGATTCGTTTGAATATTTCAAAAACAAATTCTGCCTACTGTCCTAAAATATCTTAAATGAAAAAATAAACCGAATCAAGAACATAATTTCTTTTCTACAATATACGTTCAAAAATTCCATAAAAATTCTATAAATTTATCTCTACTCAAAAAATTCTACAATATTCAAAAATTCAATGCAAAAATTCAAAAATTGACGAGAGAAAATAGTTTACCAAATATAAAAGGAAAACAGGATAAAATAATTTCTTTAATCAAAACTTAAAGAAACTAACCATGAATAACTGAATACCCAATCGCCTGGATGAGAACAGCCTTCCGCTTACCGTATTGCCATGGCAACAATTTGCGATATCCTTCACCCACATCTACAGCCAAATATCCTCTTGAATCATCCAAAATATCGTTCAATTTCATAATTTGCTCCTTAAAAGACTGTTAATATTACAACTCCAGTTATCTGAATAACGAAAATTTTCTTCAAAAGAATCTATAAAAAAACTTGGGCTAATGAAATTATTAAGCTTTTAAGCCAAAATTCCACAAATTTTGCTGGCAGATTTTTCTAAAATTTGAAAAATAAATAAAAATGGTCAATAAGCGATTAACGCACACTTAAAAGAGTGGGCTGACCGAAATCAATGTAAACACAGCCACATTTACCACGTTTGAAGTCACTGATTACATGCCTCATAACTTTCCATACACTTTCTTTTTGCCTAGACACACCCATTAATTCATTTTCAAATATTCCTTCAACAACGCTATCATAAGTAAACGATACAGGAACTATCCACACGTCTTTTAAGGTACCTAAAACATAGCAACCATTACGCCAATTAAATCTTAAATGCAATCTTTTATCTCACTGTAACAAATTAAAAAAGGGAGAAAATAAGTGACTGCAATAACGACATGGTGTTCCCTTTTTGCAGCATATTACATTCTAATATTATTTTTAAAAATAAAGTAAACCTTGTAGTACTGCTTTTACAACATTAGAAAGTAGGCCGTTTTTAGGTGGAAGAGGCTTTCCGAATCGAGATCTATAAAAGGAATTCAATCAAATATCGAAGTAAAAAACATTGCTAATAAGTTTAATGTATTAGCTAACATAGCTAATAAATTTATACCACACACCAAAACCACACAGAAGCATAACTCAAATAACCATTTAACAGCAAAATCCAATGGATTATTCATTCCGACCACAATAAATTACAAACCTTGTTCCTTCTAAAAAAAATTCCAACGGCATTCTGGCACGAAGAATTTCTATCATATATGCTTCTAATACAGACCGATAAAGCAAATCGAGATTCGGTGGTCTTCCGTCGCCATCTATTCGACGACGAATGAAAAATGCTCCTGTTGCACGCAGCAACCACCTATAATGAAAATTTTCGTTAAAACTTTCAACATTACCTGGAATCGAAAAAAAGCCAATCGATCTCTTTATCACAACTTTCAATTTTTTTTCAATCGCTTTCCATAAATATATATTTCCAAATATTCACAAGAATCTGTACTAAAGAAATAAGATTCAAGACATTAAATATAAAAGCAACCCGAATCCGGATAGATTAAGATTACTGCCAGAAGCGATATGTGGAAGTTGAAGACCCCAATGCCATAAAGTAAATGTAATAAGCAAATAATCCAAATGACTGCGATGAAGAGGCAAATATAAAATTGGAGTAGACGTCTACAAAAATTAACAAAACACTTTTTAAAAAATACTCAAAAATTCCACATTTCTAATGATGAGCTAATTTAGGAATAAATAATAAAATTAAGTAAGAAAAAAAATTTAAATGTTTATACAAATAATATACCTATTAATACATTCTATAAAAAACTAAAATAGTTTTGTTTTTCTGTAAAAGATCATGTTTAACCAAATTAAATTCCATATTGTATTAGAAATCCTCTTTTGTTTTTGATAATTTTATAAATTCAATGAATAGTTGGCAGCAACCTATGTCATTATTCTCAAGCTTAGTCAGCGAAGCCATTTCCGGTTAAATTCAGTCAACTGGCCCGTTCGTAAAATAGGATACTAGAAACACGAGTGGATTTCTGGCACCTATGATTGAAAACAAGCCTAGGACTGGGACCATTAGAGATACTAGAGATAATAATCTAAGTAATATGCAATGGGCCATCCTGCCATACTGTTGGAAGAACATTACGACTGAAACACTAAGAAATAAAGTCAATTATTAATGAAAAATTTCCATAAATATTGGTTAATACATTATTTCAAAAACCTAACCTGAGCAGCCGCCTGAAGACGTTGCATTTGATGAGGCGATACAAATATACTGTTCATCAATCTTCGAAAGATTTTAAACAGCAAATAACCGCAAATTTTGCAAATGAATCGGGAAAACTTAGCCTTTATTTCATCCAATAAACATTTGGCTCGTTTCGACACTTTCGAAAATGACTGACCACATATAGCACTCGTTGTTGCAATTGCGTGACCAACACTACATAATAAAATAATTCCTTTAAAACAGCTGCAACTGTAGAAATATGACAAATTTGCCCATTTTATAAATTTTATAAAAAAAATATCGCTAGAAATTTATCAAATTCATTGATTGAAGAGTATGAAATTCCAGAAATAAAAACTTTGTTTTTACGAAATTTTAGAAATAAAAACTTTGTATTTTCAAAAAAAAGATACATAGGAGATGGAAGAACAACTTCAGCAATCGATTCATAATATTTATGAGGCAATGGTGCTGCATAAGTATAACGCAAATCGGCAAACCAACATGGATTTGTCCTACCATCCGATGGAACAACTCGATCTCCAATTACTTTATAATGTGGAAAATCGAGAATATTCAGTCGATAATGCTTCGTTTGTGTAAAAGGCAAGCTGAGACCTCGGTTCCAACGAATTAGCAAACCACAATCGCTTCTTCTTTCCATATCCTCAAAAAATTCTTTCATCTTGAAATTTAGTGAACTTCTAATTAAAACATGGAACAATAATAAAACAAACTTTGAAATAACTTTCATTTTAGAAGTAGGAATGGTTTGAGGTAAATCAGATTAAAATTTCATTTCCATGATTCTATATTTCTTTACATCTGTAAGGAACTTACAAGCATTGAAGTATAAAATACAATATTAACTCGACAAATCTTCAGATTTTAGGCTTTAAATCCAATGTGATTTAAAGCAATAAAGCAAAATAATTAAGGACAATCGAGTGGCACACTGCTCTGGTACAGTTTGAACACCATGGATTCAAATCTTGAAAATATTCGGATGACACTGTAACCTGTATTTCTATCCATAAAGATTTTCTAGGCTATTATTCCAGTGCTCAGTAGTGCAGGTAACTAAACCAAAAATGGTGAGTACTGCCAGAAGAGAAAAAATCTTTCCATTAGCAGCTAAAAAAAGCATTTTGAAAAAGTTCGAAAAAAGCTCCCTTTTGGAGTCGTTGGCTCCACTGGCTGTTAGGAGACGACCTAAAGGTTGGTTCCAATGGCTGTTAGGATACGACCTTTCGCCATTTCCAGGTTCAATCGGATCCGAACTGGATTTCGCTTCCGATTACACGCTTTCAACCAACTACCAACCACACCAATATTTCTACAAGAGCGATATTTGAGCATAAAACGACTCCAAGACGATTTTAAACTTCCGCATGAAAAAAATTTGAATGGAAATCGGCTGCCGTTCAGAGAAACATACATTGCAGTGCGGCTGCGAATAGGTTATTAAATCGACAGGGCTTTATAAATTGCAAGCAGTACTCATAATTTATTGGCTACAAAAAGCAAACCCTTTCGCCAGGGAGGAGGTTTACTTGCGTCAAGCGACGGGAATTGAACATTTGAGGACTTAACTTTCAATAATAAGCAATACAATACACCTCTCGACAATCGCATTCTCATAACTTAGAATTAAGTGTACAAATCCAAAATGATTCAAATCAGATTTAAAGAAAACCAGATCCATTCCAGATCCGTTTTTTTGTATTATGAATTCCATGTCAATGATATAAATTTTGGCTTAAAAAAAGAATCTAAATAAAGAATAAAATTATATAAACTCAGATAATAATGATAAAGAAATCAGTGGGTTGTTGCTCAATTGGGAGTGCCGATGCTGAGGTTTGATTACCCGCGGGAGTAAACCTGTCCAAAAATCCGGGTGATGCTGGCGACTCACCTTTACTTCTATCGCCAAGGGATTTCTGGCATATTGCCCAGTGCGACAAGCCAGTGGAGCGAATTTAACCAGTAATGGATTCTTAAGATAAGAATGATAATAACAAAAAATAATGAATAAAAACAGTAATAATAAAAATAATAACAGTAATATCCATAATAATAATAAAATAAATACGCTATTAGTTATAATAGTAATAATGATGATAATACTAATGACAATGATGATAATAATGATAATAGTAACAACAATAATAATAATAAAAATAATAAAAGTAACAGCAATAACAATTTGGTCGACGTTTGCCAATAAAAATACGAAATTAGATGAAATTATTTCACATCAACAATGGTTTTTTATTAATATATAAACTGGTTAAATTTTTTAATAATCAGCAGTTGAAACTTGTATTCTATTATTTTTTGTTCGAATTCCACATGAAAATAATTGTAGGAATCCATATTATTCGATAGTTTTTATCGAAACCTATTCGCATAACAATCTTAAGATTTTTCGAATTCAGTTCATCAGTTCTAAACATTATCGGACTGTATTGCGCCTACCATGGTTCTTCTTATTTTCTTGCACTTTTTTGTTTTTGGAATTTATGGTAAGTTTGATATCAATAATATTCATTGATATTTTGATTGTCTCTTTATAATTTTCTTTAAATAAATGATAAATTAAGGCATAGTGGGGATAGAATGGCTCAGTGGGTTGTTGCTAAATTTGGAGCGCCGATGCTGAGGTTCGATTCCCCGCGGGAGTAAACCTGTCCAAAAATCCGAGTGATGCTGGCTACTCACCCTGTACTTTTAAGGGACTCCCAGGACTATTTGTCCAATGCGACAAGCCAGCGGAGCGAGTTTAACAAGTAATGGTGAGAACTCATAAAAGAAAAAAAATTAAAACGGAGTGGTACCAAACCCAAATCACAAGCAATGGAATCTAAAACTTAGTACCATGATGTGATATACCAGTTAGAACGCATTTTGTTTTCATTATTTCTGAGCGCATGTCTGTGTTATCTGTTTGGCAACATGTTTAATAAAACTTGGCATAAAATAGTGGCTGATCGAGAGACTGCGAGAGATTCGAAATTATTTGTAAAGCATACTTAACAGTTCGTTATAAGGTGATATGTGCTTATCCCATTCAACAGTTGTATCATACTATTATTCTAAAATCGAAATTAAATTATATATGGGGAACGATCAATGAAATGGTAAGGGACAGCAATGCCGTGCCAGTCAAGAATATTTAGAACGCCTCATAAGGTAGAAAAAATTCTTTGAGGCCAAACTTAACCATGAAGTACTATCTGCCCCTAATATAACTGATACTTTCGCCGAACCATACGCTTACAATTGCGAGCCTCTTAGAGAAGAAGAAACAATCTCCGTTATCCATAAACTTAAGGCCAATAAGACTCCTGGAGAAAATGGTCTTCGGGCTGAACTCTTCAAATGTTGCCCATCATCCTTCATAACGCGTCTTCAACAAATGTACTCTCTAGCATGGAAAAAAGAAATATCACCAGATGGTTGAAGCAAAGCAAATTCTCAAGAAAGGTATTAGGCAACAATTATCGAGGAATCAGCCTATTAGACTTCTTAAAATTTTGCTCCCATTTTACTCGATAGACTTATGCCAGTAAGGAACAGCAAGTTAAGCTAAGCTGAATTCAAGACGAGGCGCGGTTATGCTGACCAGATATTCACGTTAAAAATTGTTGGAACATCGCTTCAAATATCTACCACCCACCGTTACGTGTTTCATTGACTTTCGATTCAATTGATAGAATAGCGCTCTGGGATGTGGTGAAAAGCGAGTGTTATAGAGAATATCATAAAGGCATTTTATTAGCATACGTCTGTGGAAGATATGATGAACTGACAGAATCCTTCGAAATAAGAACTAGTATACGTCAAGGTCCTTTCCACTATAATATTCAACAATGTGATAGACTGGATAATGGGCATCGCTTGTCGGCATTCAAGAGGTTTACAATCAATCCAGAGCATCGCATCACAAACCTTGAATAAGCTGATGATGTAATCCTTCTCAGTTATAATAAAATACCAACGCTAAACATGCAACTGCATCGGACTCAGGGTCAATGCAAATAAAACAGAAGACTTTTCGTCTTAAATACAAGAAGCTGATAAGATGCCTCTTTTTATAAACTCATTACCGACTGAGAAAGTGTCTGATTTTAAATACCTTGGGTCCACTCTAATACTGAATGGCCAGGCAAAAGACGAAATTATAACGCAAATAACACCAGCCAGAAATGCGTTTTTCCGGTTGACGAAACCTTTATGGAGCCGTCGCAAGATCACTATAAAAACTAAAGTCCCTGTCTATGTAACTATGGTTTGTTCGATTTTGCAATATAGAGGATATTACGAGGTTGTTTGCACTTGAGCACTCATGTGTAAAGTTTTATGGGTTCGCCCAGTGGATAAAATCTCACAAGATCGCATCCATTTTCTTTCGAATACATTAATACTACTTGCAGTAGTACCATAACAGAACATCTTCGTTGGTTAGGGTATATTCTTCGTCGCCCACCACAAGAGTTAATGTATATAAAGTTACTTGCTAAACTCTGTGATGGGTGGTGAAGAGGGCCAATCAAGACCTGGACTGACACAATCAAAAAAATTCTGAACGTATAGGTGGACCAGCAATATATGGACTTAAACGATGAAAAAAGGAGTGGCTTTTATTACTGTCGATGGAGTCAGATATGCCGCTTGGAAGCGTCTTACCCTTGTAGCCATTAGAGACAACCACTAATGGTGAGAGCTGTTAGAAGAGGAAGAAATTATATATGAACCAGCATAGCAGAATTGGTAAAATTATGATTATATAGCTTCTTAAATCATAAATTCATTAACATTTTATCATATAGCAATAGAAAAAATTTCGTTTATTTCAGGTGATGAAATTAGCAGAAATCCCAACAATGAAATTCCAAAGCATTTCAGTTCTTTTACTCCATTCATTAACAATAATAAATTAGCACGAACTATATCATCAAAAACTGATCTTTTAAAGCGAAAATTATCCACGAATCAAGAAGATATTAATAACTTCGATCTTGATGTTCTTCCAGAATTCTTTGAGCAAACCAAAGCAAAAATCGTCGGTTACAGCCTGAATATAATGGCTGGTATGATACCTTCTTTTAGCGGCATTGAACATCTGAAATATCTGCGAAATGATAAAATTAAAAAATGGCAGCGCGAAAAAGTTTCAACAAACGATACTGGCAATCCCCTATCTGAAGACAGTGGCCACTTAGCTAAAAAAAAGAAACGAAGCTCCACAGATGTGCAACGAGAAGCTACAGATGACGAAAAAAACTTTTCTAATCGATCCAAACTGCCAAATCAACTATCCTCTTTACAAAAAAAGAATCCTGTAGTTCAAACAGATTTAATTATGTTCCCTCTATTTAATTTGGACAGTAATGAAGATTATGAAGAAGAACAACACAAAGAGAATGAATCTAATTTTATCAGTATGTCCCAAATAACACAAAAAGACGACAGCAATAAACAAAACTTTGACGACAAGTTAAAAGAAAACAACGACGAAGAAATGATGTTTAAAAATAATAAGAATGAATCAGGCCTTGACTCTAAGTCGTCTGAAGCGAGAGAAATTGGTCAGCAATTCCAGAAGGAGCATGAAGGAAGCCTTGATAATGATCGAGATGACAATGATTCTAATGAAGAAGAGTTTACGAGGAATGGAAGAATTAATGGTCAAATTAATAGCGAACGAGAATACAATGGATTTAAAAGTAAATTTACTGAAGATTATGAGGATAGCGAAATAATTGAAAATAACGAAGATGGTGGACGAAGAAACTTGGCAAAGCAAGTACGTGAGGAATCAACAAGGCTTGAAGAAACGCTAGTCGATGGTGACAAAAACAGTCATGAAGATACTGGAAAACAATCACAAGACAATAGCAAATATCAGGTTGAAAACGAAAGAGAAAGCCGAAATGAACGAAGATACACGTTAAGTTCCAGGAAAGAAAAAATGCAGAATCGACAATCCGAAATAGATTCACTATTATCGAGAACATTTTCAAATCGTCAAAAATTACAGTCAACAGAAGGATCAAAAGAATGGGAAGAACGACGTGAAGTTCAGCCGAAGAAAGGGAAAGGAAGAACTCAGAATGATCGTGGAACAAGGAATAAAGAAAGTGGCAACAGTAATCAAGCATACGGTACTGTTCCACCTCAGCTTTTTTTTGAAAGTATACCTGATTTTCAAGAATGGATCGCAAGCCTTCCCGGGTTTAGAAGCAATATTCCTTTTATTAGAAATACAAATAACAAATACCAAGATCGCAAAAACTCCCAGTTACCATTTCCTTCCTTTCCGAATGCATCAGCAGGACGAGTTGGACAACAGCAAAAATTCCCAGTATTTCCAATATATGCAGAACAGCCGCATAAAAAGCTGTCGAATCAATCAAGAAAATCAACTAAGGATAATGATTCAAGTGAAGAAATTGAGTTAGTAGATCAGTCTAAGAGAAAGCATAATGATCATGAACACACATCGAGAAGGAGAAATCGAAACAGAGAGAATGCCTATCAATCGAAACCTATTGGTCAACCTGTGGAAAATCGTTTTACTTTGCGTAAAAATGTCCCTTATCTATGAGGTAATTACGATAACTCAATGCCTTATTTAATAAATTTTTCTCTTTAATAAAATTCAACAAAAAAACGCAAAATGCAGTATTTCTTCAGAATTAAGCCTAGAAAAACCGGAAAATGAGTGATAAAGGGCAAAAATTTAAAAAAAAAGCAAATTGATTTACTTTAGAAGGAATCTGAAAGAATAATATGTTCGACAGCTCGACAAACTCGCTTTTTTGCTTTTCAAGAAGGTGATCAACTCTAATTTTTTATAAGAATCAAATGCAGATATAGAACACAATTAGAGATGGATATGACTGTGTGCATCGTTGAATAAAATTACCAAATTTGTCTAAATTTTCGAGTTTGCTCTTTAATTTACTAATGGATTGTTTCTTCCAATAGGAATATTTAAAAAGTTGTATTCTATAGTTTTTACAAGAAATTTATGCTCTTTTTTTATAATTTAAGCTCCCTAAAAACGAACATTTTATTTTTTAAGTATTTTATCCAATGTTTCACATTAAATTGCTTAATTTTTAGTGAAAAAAATAATGAACTCTGGAAAATTCTTTTCGAAAAAAAATTTCCATGATTCTTCTTAATTATTTTTATATTTTATTAATTACATCTATTTACTTCAGAGTTTGGCATCATATTCATAATAATATTAACGGTTTATGTGAATTTTCTTAAGAAATGAAATAAAATCAAATTGGCGGAATCAAATATGATCATGATTCTAATCGTGCATTGAGTTCAAGTATCACCCATTTGGTCCATGCGCTTTGATTGGAATAGACCATCTGATGCAAGTGCACACACAACTATTTTACCACCAGATAATTGTAGAACGCAAAGGAATAAGAATCGAAAAAGTACAATAGACAACCGCGGTTTAAATATATATATATATATTTTGGGAATTCATCCTAAGTGATAGGTGAACGTCGTCCACACGCTAAAGACAATAATAAGTCTTTCAGGCCAATTGGAACTAATTCTTTGGTGACAACTTCTTTGGATAAGAATGCAAAAATAAAGGAGCTAAATCGCACAATAATATCTGTTTACTTTAGATTAAATTAATTGACAGAAATTCATATACGATGCTCGAAAGCCAAAAATTAAGCGAATTCGATTTAATCGCAAGCTTCTTAAGATGATTTTAATTAATCTCAACTGAACAAATGTCAAAGCTTGAAAAAATAAAAAGGCTACCGAGAACTCAGCAGCTTATTCTTGAAAAAAAATAAAATGAACATGCGGACGAATTGCAGAGATATCCTTCACAAACTTGGATTATATTAAATGTTTTGCGAAAATATGGTGAACAAGCCGATCCTGAAATGAGAAAAATTGAATATTAACTTGGATACACCAAATTAAAGTTATTTCACAAATTTCTCTTACTTATTATTCTCTTACTTATTATTACTTATTATCTCTTACTTATTATACTTACTTATTATTATAGAACTATTCATATGAAGTGGATTTATTTTCTCCATATTTTCATCATCATACGCATTCACATGTTACCTTGATAATAACGTACTTCTAGTGTTAGCCTCATGAGACTTCCGAAAAGACAGTCTAACGAATAAATTCTGCTCGTACAGCTGAGCTTATTTACGCTTATAATATTTTTAACGAAATTTTAACGAACGTTCAATGCAAATTCATTCAAAATGTAATAGTGCCAAAGTTAAGGCTTATTCAGAAGCATGGAAATTATTTAAAAAAAGACAAGCCATCGCCTTTGAAGGTGGAAATAACGTTTAAGTGGTAAAAAGCACAGTAAAAAATATAAAAAGATTATAAGTTAATGTGAAAAGCGGAACAAAGAACAACATCAAAATTATAGTCTCAGCAAGTAATTTGATAAGGAACAGTACGGCTTTAATAAACCAATTTTTAGTGCTCAAAATAATAAAAAAAAATTTAAATTTTATTTAAATATCAATAAATTTTTTATACTTGAATTGAAAACAAGAATTTGATTTTATTATCTGGTATTCCAAGCATTCTATTCAATTGATAAAACGGTGCTTTGGAGGGTGATGGAACGTGACGGTGTTCCAGAGAAGATCATTCGACTCATAAAGGCATTTTATGAGCATACATCGGCGCAGGTTTGTGTATATGGGGAGCTGATAGACTCCTTCGAAATAAGAACTGGTGTCTGTCAAAGCTGTGTCCTTTCTCCTATGCGATAGACTGGAAAATGGACACCGCTTGTTGGCACTCAAAAGGTATATAAGTTAGTTCGGAGCATCGCATCACAGATCTTGAATATGCTGTGTCCTATGTCCTAGAATGGTGTCCTTTTTGACAGTTATGACGAAATGTAAACAATGCTAAAATAATATGTTAGCAAATGCAGCGAGAATTGGGCTCAGGGTCAACGTAATGAAACGAAAGCCTTTTCGTCTTATATACAAGAAGCTAATAAAATGTCTCTTTTTATAAATTCATTACCCATTGAGAAAGTGCCCGATTTTAAATACCTTTATCTATTCTGATACCAAATGGTCAGGCAAAAGACGAAATTATAACCCAGATAACGCCAGCTTGAAATTCATACTTCCGGTTGCCGAAACTTTTATGGAATCGAAAAATTACTGTAACAACGGAAGTTCGCAACTACACAGTTGTAATTTGTTTGATCTTGCTATATGGCTGCGAGACCCAACCGACGAGAGTGGAAGCTATTAAGGACAATACTATCTACCTTTGATCACTCATGTGTAAGATATATTAGGGGTGCGCGCAGCGAATAAAATCGCGCATGATTGCATCCACCTTCGCTCAAATACCATTTAGTACCATCAGAGAGCGTCGCCTTCGCTGGTTAGGTCGCATTCTTCGTCGCCACAAGATTTGACACATACTTCGTTACTTGCTAAACCCTCTGATGGGTGGCGTCAAAAGTGAGATAGTCCAATCAATACTTGGATTGATGCAGTCAGAAAAAATTTTGAATGGACCAGCGGTATATGGACTTAGACGAATCAAAAAGGAATGGCTTTTCTCGACGTTGGCGTGCGGTCGAACAGCTCGGAGACCAGCCTTACCCTTGTAACCAGCGGAAGTAGCCTAACCAGGAAGTGTTAGAAGAAGAACAATTTATACGAAATTCTAACTCCTAAGGTTTGATTAAATGATTGATTAAATGATTACAGTAAGTTTTGCCTTGTCCTTATTGAAACCATCTGAGACACCAGGTTGAAAAAATCAAAGTGTATTTTAGTAAAGTAAAGTTAATTATCGTTCCATGGAACTACAGAAATTCATTTTGTTAGGCTATTATAAAAATCAGTACTTGCGTTCCACAATCATAACTATTGTAACATTTGTAACCTTTCTCCTGAGGTGAGAAACGGTAAAAAATATTTGTCATCTGAGCTTGTGCGCTTTTTCGAAGCAAAGCAATACATAAAGGTGCATATGTATTATTTGACTTGAATGAATCGCAATTATCTACGGCTGAGAAAAACTCGGACAAAGTTAATTCCAACACGGAAAAGTGACTTAACAGGCGAAAAATTGATTTAAGGCAGCCGCTCTGAATACAAATATAATAAAACAACAACTTAAAAATCTGAATTTGAACAAGAAAAATTTTGAATTTATTTATTTTAAATTATCTTGAATTTAAATTTTTCATTCATATTGCAAAAACAAATTCGAAAACGGAGAAAATCCGATGAAATAATGCGGAAATAAAGACTTAAACAAGTTCTTTTTTTCTTCGTCCTACAGTCATCTTCGATTTTGAAATAACACTGCAGTTTTGAGCAAATACTGATTTGATTTGAATTAAATTAGCTTTAATTTTTATCACATTGGTGACCTGATATTCCAAAAAAAATATAGAAAGGTCCGCCATTAACTTCAGATATGATAACCATAATCATAACTTGAAAGAGTTTGTCGAATTAAAGAATACATTTCACAAAATGGATAAAAGCTTATATGCAAAATCATGATGAGTTTCAAAATGCGACGCATTCGAATGTAAAAAATCGGAAAAGAATGAAATAAACACCATTAAAATTGCAAAATTATTACAAATCCATCCCAACACTTTTTTCCTTTTGAGAATTAACTTCTTCAGCAAAGAGTGGATCCATGACTTTGTCGGTATAGGCTGCCTCAAGAGGTGTTACAACAACGTCACCCCAAAAAGTGGTTTCAGTTACAAGACCTATAAGAAATAACAAAAAACACACTAAATAAAAATGCATGCTGAGATTGTTATCAACGAACTTCACTGCCATTCTATGAAAAAATCTGCGCATTTAAATAAAAACTAACCTCCTTTTGATGTTTCCAGTCCAAGTACATGTTTGTATCCACCATGACATATGATCCGCAGCAATGTTTGAGAAACGCTACATATCTGATCCTATAATAAAACGAAGTAGGACAATAAATGCAAAGTTTAAATGCAAAAATATAGTACCATATATAAATTACAGGAAAGTTACGGGATGTTGCAGATGGAGACAAATAAAGGTAAAAAAAGAACCATCTCTTCATATGTTAAACATTGATGAATTCGTCGATCCGGCTCACAAGGATCGAGAAGAGCGGGTGATGTAGGCAAAAGTAGTCCAGCAGCCAGCAACTGGAAAAAGCGGCAAAAAGCTTGACTGGTGGATAATGGTTGATCCGATGGAGTATTCAATACTGCATAATGTGACTAAAAATTCTCATTTCAATGAAATACTGTCTTGACTAAAAAGCTATAGCATACAAACACCGATTAAAAACGATAAATCCCACATTCTAGCGATTAATTGGTAATTATACAAATTATACAATCTTAAAGTTTTTAAAGTTAAAGCAAATGAAGTTTTTAAAGTAAAGTAAATGAGACCTTTTTTAAAAAATTATCTGCTATATACAAAGAAATTTAAATAAAAAAACTCACAACGAGTTCAATAATCCATACATTTAATGCAGCAAATTGTTCGAAACGGTTGCGAATATCTTTAATTAAACGAATAACGACCTAAACGCATAAATAAATAAAATTTCTCCAGATACCATTTTCTGGTTTTCTGTAAGAAGAATTAAACAATTTCTTTATCATCAACATGCATTATGCAAGAAATAAAAAGGCTATAAAAACTCTGTAATGCAAATCTGAAAATAACCCACATAACCATTCTAAAAAATCCCTAGCGTCTCTCTTGAGCCGACATTCAATTCCAGCCATTATCATTTGGTTAAGACACTTAAAAACTGGGAGTTATGTGGAAAACCCTACTTTTATGGTAGAATTTTTTGCATTTTCTTCGAACCAAAGTGCATGACGAAGTGCTGCCATGTGTGAAATCATAACACTTTCTTTCACTAAAACTTCGGTACGTTTGTAAGATTGAAATATAAACAAAATAGAGATTTTAACAAATTGATATTATAGTTGAAAGATATGACAGTAATTACAAAGAACTACGATTTCAATCCCAAAATAAAAATGCCAGAACCCAGATGAGAAACACTTGGGAATTTCGAAAAAGCAGCGTTATGTTTTGAAACTATTTTACCATAGAACAAAAAATTCACCTTATGAATAAACTAAAAAAACTCACAATGAAGATCTGGATCGAGTAATTTTGCATTCATAGGTACAGTGGTTATCAATAATCGGACGATGGCTTTAGACCTTTTTATTTCACATCCAAAATCTCGAGGTATATATTCATAGACTAAAAAAATTAAGAGACCAATCCTTTCATCGGAAAAAATGTAATGAAAATTGCATCAATAAATATATAATTGGATAAGGCGGTAGCTCAGCTGCAATACAACTGCCACTCAGAACTGAGGCTTGGGAATCGAATCCGGCCGATGCTTCATTGGGAGGTTGTGTCGCCCAATAAGAAAGCAAGGGAAAGTAGAGCATAGTGGTTTATTGTTGCTCAAGTCGATGATGCGGTTCTATTCCCAGCAGGAATAAAGTTGCCCGAAAATCAGGATAATACTCGCAATTCCCCAGTTATATCTCTATCACCAAGGAACCCCCTGGCATATCTAAACTGACAAGCTAGTTGGGCAACTTTAACCAGCAGTGACGAGCGCTATCTAAAAAAAAAAATAATACAGTGTTACACTAAAATGCAAACAAACCTTCTTTATCGTTTGCTTTCAGATCTTCTACGATCCTTTGCCCTAATGTTGATACTGCTTCAACTATAAATTTCTTTATCTCTTTGCTTCTGAACTTTTTCAAAAAATATCTTAATAATAAATGAAATTATTAATGAGACGTCTAATAAATAACTGGGGAAGTCGAAAAAAATTACCGGTTGGAAGAGAGCGAAGAACAATTACTATATCAGCGACGTTATGCCCTGCTATCATTGTTCCTTTTTTGAATGACCCAACTTCCCGAGATTCTTCAATTACCTTTAATGTAATAGCCCTTGCAATAATAATGCTAGGTTAGTTTGTTATTTATGATTGTACATCAGGGAACAAATGTTTCCACAGCCTCAAACAAAAAAATAACTATATCCTATCACAATTTGTTAAAAATCTTCCAAAGCCTTGTTAGACAATCCAGACACCCCACTCAAAATATCACAAAACTCTAGCTTAAATCACTTTTTTGATAGAGTTTTTGAATTTCTAGAAAAAAAAAGATTGCAATTTAATGCAACGTAAAAAAAAGCTAAAAGAAATCTCAAAAAAAGTCGAAATTTTTTCAGCGAAGGGAGAAATATAATCAACGACAGTAGACACGAATTTAAAAGCATGACACGGAGTTGAACTAGTTGAATTAAAAATCCTAATCCTGTATACATGGCAAATAAAAGTAAGGTAATGCACTGGTATTCATGAACATATATAAATAAAACTTATTAACAATTGATGACGTTGTAGACGTTGTTGTCATTTTTTCTATCGCACCTTTAACTTTTGTTACCAAAGTGGTAATGGCACTTTGTTCAATTTGACCTGGAGTCAATTCTTGATGTCGCTTTGTCAACGCCTGCAACAGTATATATAAAAACCTGCGGTATACTTCTTCTTGTAAAATTTTGCAATACAAAATGAGATCAGCAAACTGAGAATCACACTAATTTTTTTTAAAGGTAAACTTTAGAAAAAATAATTATTTCCATACTCGGCACCTAAATTATCATCTTTTCACAGATCTATCTTCAAGAGACTCTGAAAATAAAATGGACTCATGCTGGTTGTCAACGAAACCAGTGAAAGCCAAAGCGTTTGTGTTAGTATAAGAAAAAGGAAGAAAGAGAAAGAGAAATGAAAAGAAAAGAAACACCACCTGAGTAAGATCAGAATCATCATTTTCCCTCGTTTTTTGAAAATTTTCTTCACAAAGAACAATATCGAATGGTGCAGGACGACATGCAAAAACTGGACCCATATGTGGAACATAACCACTTCCAGGATATGGCATCATATTACGGCGCCAACGATTTCTCATTTCACTTTCTAAAGCTCGAGAAAATTTCACAAGGAAATTCCAAATCTATTAAATCATTTACATCGAAATAATTAAAGCACACACAAATGGAATCAAACGAAATAAAAATTTAATTGTATTCAATATCTGATATTACGCAAGTTCCACTGGCCGTTCATACGACTGGAGATTTTCGCTCGGAAGCCACTTAGCGTTAGAAGTCAGGTGGACAGAAACGCACCACCACAATGCAAGCAGGCTAGTAGCATCTCAACTTATAAACTTATACTGGAATATAAGATGTGAATCCCAGACTCTTTGCACCAACTCACTGGGCAACATTCATTATCCCACCTCAAGAATGCCACTAAATTGAGGAAAAATAGCCCAGTGGGTTGTTGTTCATAAACCTGTTCAAAAATCCGCTTGATGATGGCGACTCACCTGTACTTCCGTCACCAAGGGACTCCCTGACATATCTGTACAGCGTGATAAGCCAGCGGGACGAGTTTAACCAGTAATGGTGAGGACTCTTTTAAAAAAACCACCAAATAGAAATCTACGTAAATAATAAAACAATAAACTCTTCATATTTGCCAAAGAAATAACCCCCAGAGAGAAAAAACTACTTAAATAGAAGAAAACCTTTATACTGAGGAAACAAATCTTGGAACTAACTGAATTAACGAAAGCAATAAAATGAAACTTTACGTGACGTACATCGTAACCATAAAGAAACCAAAATAACTCCCAAAAGTCCAGCTTTGTCGGAAATTTATAAACTAAAATCATAGAGCGGTGTCGCATTGTGCTTATTCCTTATCCACATTCCTTTTAGTTTTTAAAGCTGTTGAATTTTAATGCGTATAAAGTAATGTGAATTTGCGCGCAAATTGAGTACGAGAAAACCAAGTAAGAATCTTGGCTTTCTACGATTTCTGACAAAGGAAATAATTGGACAAACCCTACACATATTGGATGTTATTTCTAACGTGTCTTTCTTATCGTTGTCTATCTGATAATCCAATGAATTTCTTTGATATTCAAATGGAAGTAACGGATTCCTTTGTGAACCTCGTCGAAGCAAGGAATCCATTTGAGATTCTAAGGAAGCGGTGAATTTCTTTGACGCTCCACTGAAAGATTCGAATCCCCGCGATGATACTGTAAAGACCACAAACCCCTTCTCTGAATCAATGATATGAATGACATCTACAATTGCACTTCACATCTCTCATATTTTCAAACAATCTTTCCTCGATATAATGAAAAATTAACAGCCCAATATTATCCTACTGTATATTATCCTATCCTACATTGCCACCGTGTCGGTCATGATGGAGAGAAGAAAGGGAGAATAGAATAGCTCAGTGGGCTGTTGCTCAATTCGGAGCCCAGATGCTAAAATTCTACTCCCGGCAGGAGTAAATCTGTCCAAAAATCCGGACGCTGCTGGCGGATGGCCGCTTACCCGTCCTTATATCGACAATTTTTTCTTGAACATTGTAGAGTTATACGTCCGACGCAGAAAAGTCTTAACAGGCGAAGAAAATTTAAAAAATAATCCAAAATTTTAAAGAAAATTTCACGATTAAACTCCGCATCTGTTTAATTATTTAAATCGAAAAATCTTAAATAAAAGAAATACAAATAAATACAAATGCAAAACAAAAATTTAGAGCTGTATTTAATGTCCAGTTTAGCATCCAATATGTGGAACACTTCGGATAACTTGTTCGCTACTTTGGCCAATGTTCGTCAGAAGAATTCCGCACCATGCGGTGATTGTTTCGGAGTCCTAGAACTGGCAGTCTTCACAGGCCGAACCATGTCAGTAAAACCAAAGTCAACAATTTCATATTTTCGTTATAAGACCAAAATTTGCCGCTCTAAATTCAACGATTTTAAATACAAGTTGTTGAATTGAAAGGGCTGTCAAAGGGTGTGCTTTTATACGAGCGAGAAGCTGCGCGTGGCTTTTTTCGGATTTTTCCGTTTCTCCTCTCTTTCATTTCGCTCTCACTTGTCGTTGCGCGTGAAAATCATAAGAGCGATTGAAAAATAAACAAGTGACAAAGATCGAAGAGAAATTTGCCAAAATTGTTTATTATTTATTCTCGTCAATAATTTTTTTGCATAATTTGCTTTTTCTAAGTTAAAGGTCGAAGTTGATTTGAAATATATTTTCCAGCGTAATTCTCCCTTATTTGTTGCGAAATTTTGTTCGACAAAAGTCCATTTTGATTTTTCACTTTCATTCACGATGATAGTAAATGAGATTTATTAGAGAGCAGAATGGCTCAGAGGACTTTTGCTCAATTCGGAGCTGATCTGAGGTTCTACACCAGGCAGGAGAAATCCGGCGATGCTGGCGGGCCACCTATGTCTCTATCGTTAAAGGACTCCATGGCATGTTTGTATAGTTCGGCAAGCCAGAGGAGTGGGTCTAACCAGTAATGGTGAGTGTTCTTTAAAAAGTGACTAGAGGTAAGATGCAAACCATATTATGTGATCATGTGGCTAAATAATTGACAAGCATTGAACAGAAGGCATTATTTCTTTAATTTGCCTAAAATTTCATTTTTCCTTTATCTTACATTTGTTGAAAGCTGTAATAACGACAGTTAGACTCGAACCGAATGGTTTCTACTCACTCTAAAATATTTCGACTTCACATTTGCACTTTATAGACTATTTGAGAATTTTTTTTAAGACAACGATTTTTGTCGTACAATTTTTAGACAACAAAAAAATCTCCAAATTTTTAGGCGAATCTTTTAATTTTTATAAACTCATCAAATCAAGGCCAATAAGTTAGGTGAATATGAATGTACCCATTGAACAATTAATAGTACCATCCAGACAAAAAAAAAATAAGGTAAGTTCATTTTTTGCCATCGTTCGCTTTATTTATAATTTTTCATTTTACCATATTGAATAAAATGTTTTTATCATTACTGATCGTTAGGAGTTACTCAATAACAAATTATAGGCATGACGTGGCTTGTAGCATGAAAACACAATCTGCAAAAATATAAATATAATAGAATTTAAAAACTTTTAAATTTTAAAGAAAATTCCAATTTTCATGCAACACTTATATATTTTAGCTGAATTTTTATGTTAATTAGTAGTTTTCATAATGACCTATCTGAATAATTAGTGGTCGGTCGACACCGTAAATAAACTGGAAAATGAATGAGTCAATAGATCGAAAATGAAAGAAATTAATGGTTGATGATATAAATCTAAAAAATATTCAGAATATTCAATATCTATGCGAAAGCTTTTATTCGAAAAACAGAGACGTACAAAATTACAAAATAAAAAGACAAAATATTGAAATTTTTTGTTCAATTTGAGAGGGGAGCGATTGGATCAACTAAGAAAGGAAAGGAAAGTGTCAATCAGGGAATTCCAACGCCTTTCAAAGACGTTACGAATGATCATTTATCGATTTCTATGAGTAATATTCAAACTAATCAAGTACCACCATTTATTGAAAAATGTGTTAACAGTGTTGTCAAAAATAAACAGGATATATCATCTCAATCGCTGAATTCGGTATTTTTTTATTTTTTCATTATCATTCATTTATATCCTCAATTTTGCCTTCAATTTTATCCATGAATTCTCCTGCTCTCTCTCCCTCCTATCTGGAATTCACTGAAATTCCAATAACTTCATTTTTCTAATCCATGACAAATTTTTCAGAGACGTGCTGCCTGGGAAGTTAGAAAATTCATACCAAAAAATGTAAATTATGGCTCTAACAAGGAAAATGGCATGTTTTTATTGTTTTGAAACTTTTGAAACTGTACATTTAGTTTCTCCATACTGGCTTCGCGCTTTATTACACTTCAATTGCACATAACAGCGGGCATAAGTTGTGATATTTTTATGGCATCATATATGATATCATGGGAGTTTTAGCGTGAATGGGTTGTTTTAATTTATTCTCCCGCATTTGTAGTGGCTCACTGGCAAGGTAATTGTCATTAAGAATCGAGGCTTGCGTTCGTATTTGCCGGCGCATCACGTTTGGTTGGACTTAGGCAATGTCACCTAATGGCGAAAAAAAGGAGAAACAAAGAAAACTAATTATAATTCACTGGGTTGTTGCTCAATACAGAGAGCAGTTGCTGAGGCTTTGTTTCCGGCAGGAATAAACTAAATCTGTAATCTGTGCGATGCTGGCGACTGATCTTACTTCTAACATTAAGGGATTCTGTCATATAATTTTTTGTTTAAATATAAATTTTTTAAAGTTCATGGTTTGATCTTGAGCGGTTGTATTGTTATTCTGCAATTATTTTTTTTTCTGAATATTTTCTAGAATTTTCTATAAACTTCGAACTACGAGCTATGTCTTTCTTTGTTTTCTTTTTTTCCCTAAATTAAGAAAAAAACAACAAAGAGTTGAAATAAATATATGTATATAAAATTTATGTTATAATAAGATAATATAAAATAATTATGTCTGTCTTTAACAGGAGTGAACCTGTCATGTCAAAAATATGGTTGCTGGGAACCCACCTATAACTCTATCATCAAGTGAATCTATGATGAAGGATCAGATTCATACAGGGTCCGCGTCTCCCGACGCGCATTAATCTCCCTCTCCGGTGGTATATGGGATAAGTATACAATCAGGGCATAAAGCTATCCCAAGACTGATAAATAAAATGTGCTCGCAAGCCAAGGTAATTACTCGGAACCAAGGGGAACAAGGGGAACCCTCTGCACGCGCGGCAAGGTATTAGACGTATCAGCGTGGAATTTCAGAACGCTTATGGACGTTGCAAGTCAAGCGATTATTTCCACACCTTTTCTTAATATCGTGTGGATATCGCTTGCTTGTCGGAGGTCCATCTTCCTCACTTCGGGTCTCGAGTAATTACTAATCGTGGTTCGGAGTAAAAGTACTGGCTATATCACTGTGGTTTTCGGATAACTCTGGCAGAATGGCTTAGAAGACCCATTCCGCTTTGATTAAGTGGAAACCGGTAAGCGACCATATG